TAGGGGACATGTCTTCAGAGGCCTGTGCTTTACTGTGCTGCTTATTCTAAAAGGTCTATGCCACTGGGGACGTGTTACATTCCAGTCTGGGTGTAAAACTAGTCGGACCACTCCACTCAGACAGGAAAGGAGACATGCTGAAATAAACGACCAGAATATATAGTGGCAGTCGACTAAAAGGAACCATACTGGTATCTGCCTCTGTCCAAATCATGTATTATTTTCTCCAGACTGAGCCAGTTTAGTTTTTCACACGTGTAAATCAGTCTCTGACCATAAAGACTTACAGACGACCACAGCAGCCGGTCTGTGTCAGGGCTCACCTGGTTTGGCACTATGTGTGGTTAGAAATCTGTCGTACCTTGGTCCAAAAGTGGCTCTTGGTCCAACTCAATGTTCAATGCTGAAGACCAGTCTAGTTTAGCCGCTGTGGACTACTGAATGCACTTGGTTGATAAATGGAACTTTTTTCTAGTGGGGGCGGGTCCCGGCTCAAAAATGCCCATAATGACGTGCACTGACAGGCTGCAATACCACCCCGGGCCAGTGGGGGATGTATTGAATCTTCTTACCTCTTGAAAACGGCTTTACAGGATGGTCCTAAAGTGGCTCTTGGTCCAAAAGTGGCTCTTGGTCCAAAAGTGGCTCTCGGTCCAAAAGTGGCTCTCGGTCCAAAAGTGGCTCTCGGTCCAAAAGTGGCCCTCGGTCCAAAAGTGGCTCTCGGTCCAAAAGTGGCCCTCGGTCCAAAAGTGGCTCTCGGTCCAAAAGTGGCTCTTGGTCCAAAAGTGGCTCTTGGTCCAAAAGTGGTTCTTGGTCCAAAAGTGGCTCTCGGTCCAAAAGTGGCTCTCGGTCCAAAAGTGGCTCTCGGTCCAAAAGTGGCTCTTGGTCCAAAAGTGGCTCTTGGTCCAAAAGTGGTTCTTGGTCCAAAAGTGGTTCTTAGTCCAAAAGTGGCCCTCGGTCCAAAAGTGGCTCTCGGTCCAAAAGTGGCTCTCGGTCCAAAAGTGGCCCTCGGTCCAAAAGTGGCTCTCGGTCCAAAAGTGGCCCTCGGTCCAAAAGTGGCTCTCGGTCCAAAAGTGGCTCTTGGTCCAAAAGTGGCTCTTGGTCCAAAAGTGGTTCTTGGTCCAAAAGTGGCTCTCGGTCCAAAAGTGGCTCTTGGTCTAAAAGTGGCTCTTGGTCCAAAAGTGGCTCTTGGTCCAAAAGTGGCTCTCGGTCCAAAAGTGGCTCTCGGTCCAAAAGTGGCTCTCGGTCCAAAAGTGGCTCTTGGTCCAAAAGTGGCTCTTGGTCCAAAAGTGGCTCTTGGTCTAAAAGTGGCCCTTGGTCCAAAAGTGGTTCTTGGTCCAAAATGGGGCTAGTGCAGCTAACTCCTGCGCTAATGTGTTTTTTCACATTGTCCAGCCCCCGCGCCCATTTAAAAAATACCACATCAGATTAAATGTCGGAGAGAGCCGTGACTACGTCTGCTAATACTTCATATTTGTTATACCCATGTATTTTGGTCCATGTACTTAAATCTACACTAATACACAAAGACACATAACCAGCCCAAAAACACCATATTCAACCCAAATTATTTCAAATCCGTTGTCAGTCGGTGGGTCTCTGGTGTAACACAATTGAGATTTAGAAAACACATTTGACTTCTTGAGCTGAATGCATTAATAAAGAAAACAAATGTAGCTGAGACTCTACAGTTTAACAGAAGGTCAATATAAGACGCAGAGAAAAGAATGTTAAAGCCGCTCACTGCGCACAGGACCATGCATCATGAAGAAGAGATACGCCTCCGGGCTGCAACCAATACGACAAAAACATCCATTCAAAACAAATCCCAACTGCGCATTAACAGGATTTTGTTTCTGTGTGCATACGGTGGTTTCAAAACTCTTTCTTCATGTCCATGCTACAACAGTCCTTGGAACAACCGGACCAGACCTGTAGTCAGCTGATGTAATTATCCCTTATAGTAATAAAACAGTCTGATGTAAGTGTGTAAGTGTGAGGGACGGAGGGAAAGTGGGAAACCGGGTGAATCAGAGTCCAAAAAGACAAGAGAGAAGTCATTTCTACAAACGAGAGAATAATAATAATAATCCATCCATCCATCCATTTTCTACCCCTTTATCCATTCCTGGGTCGCGGGGGTGGCCAGAGGTACCACCCAGTACACTTAGCACCAGCCCCTCACTGATCCTCCTGCAGGTGGTGAGTCCACAGGAGCATTTTAATAATAATAATAATATTTGTAAAATATAAAGTGCTTTTTTTGACACTCAAAGACACTTTAGAGTAGATACAAAAGTAAAAAGCTAAAAAAATAAACATGTAAGTGTAAGCTTATTTAAAGAGTATGTTTTGGAGGCACATGTTGGTGGTCACTGTCTCATCATAAACCCCCCTCCCTGGGCCCTCTGTCACAGTCAGAACACACATGCTGTACACACATATGCACATACAGTATGCACATATTTAGTTCAGCTTTAACCGTGTGCTACTGGTTTCCAACATTATTTCCCACCGTGAGCCAGGAGATTAGTGAGGCTACAGGAAAGACCACTGTCAATTCTTCATAATGCTAATGCTAATGCTATTGCGTCTATACCTACATGCATACAAACCATAGACTGTAAATATTATCAGACGTAGTGACGCCTGACTCCGGCGTTGAAACTAATGTGACATCACTTTTGCCTTCTGTGGCTTTTGCAAAATAGCTGCAGGGCGGGAAAATGTGGAAAAACACATTTGCGCATGTGCTAGCTGCATTCATTTAACGAGTGCATTCAAAAGTCCACAGCGGCTAAACTAGACTGGTCCAAAAATATATACTCCCCTCAACATCGACAACATCTGGAACGTGGTGTTGGACCAAGAACCACTTTTGGACCAAGAACCCCTTTTGGACCAGGAACCACTTTTAGACCAAGAACCATTTTGGACCAAGAACCACTTTTGGACCAAGAGCCACTTTTGGACCAAGAGCCACTTTTGGTCCAAGAGCCACTTTTGGACCAAGAACCACTTTTGGACAAAGAACCACTTTTAGACCAAGAGCCACTTTTGGACCAAGAACCACTTTTGGACAAAGAACCACTTTTGGACAAAGAACCACTTTTGGACCAGGAACCACTTTTGGACCAGGAACCACTTTTGGACCAAGAGCCACTTTTAGACCAAGAGCCACTTTTAGACCAAGAACCATTTTGGACCAAGAACCACTTTTGGACCAAGAGCCACTTTTAGACCAAGAACCACTTTTGGACCAAGAGACACTTTTGGACCATCCTGTTAAGATGTTTTAGAGTGAAAAGAAGACACCATACAAAAGCATTGGGTAATTCTCTTTCCGGGTACACCCCCACCAGCAATGAGTGATACTGCATCATGTCAGTGCACGTGCTCTGGACCTTTTGGAGCCGGGACGTGCTTCCGAAATGATTCAAACACACACATACAACCATCAATCGAACTCAGGACTTAATAATGAGATCTTTGTGCCGCAGGCTCTGGTCTTACTGTGAAGCAGACATCTTCATTAAAATGAGGAGCAGGCTGCCTCCCCCTCCCCAGCCGCCTCCTCCTCCTCCACCATCATCTCTCGCAACAGGTTTGTGAATACATGCATTAAATTGGATTTGTGGCCTTCAGGGAGTGACAAGTGGCAAACCGGAAACGAAGGCTCTGATGGTTTCTTGGGTCGGAGGAGCAGAAAAACTGTGACATACTTGTTTGGTCCGTTTTAGTCTGAAATTCTCGCGTCCAAAGCTCTGTCTGTTCGGGGGATGGTTGTTCACAGAGAAATGTCCGTGTTTAGTCTGAGCTCATATTCCAGTCGTATGATGCTCTTCACGCTTCTGTGTCGTTATGATTCCACAAACAAAAAAGGCACTTTTAACAAAATACTTAAAACCAACGGGCACTTTTTTGTTTGTTTTCTCTCCACTTTCTAACCCCAAACACCTACTATCTACTGTCCACAGGAATTAGATAAACTGAAAGTTAAAAAAAACAGTCAATGATTTATACAGGTGCAATGTATAAAAAACTGTGGGAAAAGTTCCTGTAATCATGTGTTTTTAAATTGGACGCGACCAGATAGCCTCAAAAAATAAATCATACATATTTTGGAGTGGACTGATAGAAAGAAACCAAAAGGATGCGTTCTTTTTGTCTGCTAACTTTGTGTTAACAGCAGAGGGCCACATAAAAAAGCAGAGAGTTTGGACATGCCTTGTCTATTGGTTGTAGGAATTGGGAACCAAACATTTTCAACATTAACAACATTATTTTAAAATCTATCAATCCTTGGGGAAGCATCTCGGAAGGAGTGGTTAGCTACTGTCGGAGTCCCCTGAAAAACCAAAGATATTCACTAAATAAAAATCAGAATCTCTCTGTTTGAGTTTGTTTTTCTTGTAAACTTGTTGAGTCCATCTGCTCCTTTGGACGGGACTTGAACAGAACACAGTGTTTTTTCTGTGACACTGGACTTGGACACAGAACTCTTGACCCGCTGTGGTCTGAGGACACTGGTCAGAGCAGAGGGACTGATCCAGACCACGTTTACATGTTTGGCTCCGAGTTCCAGATGGGACCTGGAGGCTCGGGAACGTCCTGACCAGCTGCCCACGGACCACAGCACAGAGAGACAATGGTTATAACTGGAGCATGGGCTGAACATTGGGATCATTTAATGTTTGCCTCGGTAACTACCATCGACCATCAGCAAATAACAATGGTCGATAGTGACGTGTGCAAAGAGTCACCAGCAGGGGGCGTCTGTGCACTTCAATCAATCAATCAATAATTTTTTTTATAGAGCCCTTTACAACACTCAAGGCGACCAAAGTGCTTCACAATAAAATTCCATACAATTCATTTAAAACATTTATACATTAAAACAATAAAACAGTTAAAAAACATTTTAAAAGTGTCACCTGCTATTGAGTGATAAAAGTGTTAAAAGCCAGTCTGAACAACACGTTTTGAGCCTTTCTTTAAAAAGGCCAAAAGGGGGCAGCTTCCCTCAGTAGAAGAAACAAAGAAGAAGGCGGCGGTCGTGTGGCGATATTTGAGATTTCAAGAGCTGCGAGAAAATCATTTACAGAATCTTATTGGACGTTTGAGAAGAAGGAAGCGCATATATATACATTTACATCACATAAATCACAAAAATAAATTGTTGCGTCATTTCCCCACTGTGGGACTAGGCTCGATTTATTAAAAAAACATCAACCATCGGGCAAGTTACGAATACGAAAACTTAATTGTCCACCAAGATGGAAAATCGTCTGTAGTTGTCACCTTAAAATACATAAAAAAGTCAGAGCAGACTGGGAACAGACTACCCAACAGTTGTTACGTTAAACATCGGTATCGGCCCAAAATGTCGCCATCGCCGACACTTTGCAGGACCAAATGTGGGAAATGTGTTTGTGTAGAGAAGACACTGGGCGAGCGGAGATTAGCCTCGAGCAGGACCCTCCCGAGGACAGCAGCGTTAAGGAAAGGTCAGACGGACACAGACGATGGTGAGCCGAGATCTCCCGGATCACGGACGGACACGTGTCGGAACAATAATCATAAGATAAATTTTCCTTCTTTAAGCAGTTTTAACTCTGTAACAAGAATTTCATGTTTATGTCTTCAGGATTTACCCAGAATATTATCGTTTCTGTCTTTATTGTTTGTCGTTGGTTGTCTAAGTGAGAAGAGTCTGGATTATTATACACGTTTTTTTCTTCCTCTAACCCCTTTTTCAATCCCTGTATGTGCTTTTGTTTTCTTGTTTCCTGTGAAAATGTTGTGTGCAGGTTTTTAACTAAATATTTCATTTCATTCAAAGTGTGTTTAGTCCAAAGAACAAGTGGTGAGCCAGTATGTCCACAACCATGTGCTGGTTAGTACCAACACCAACCTTTGTTTTCATCTGCATTTGTCGAATAATTATATACACAGTGATAAAAGTAGGTGCCTGCAAATAAATCATAAAAAAGAAAATGTATCTCTTGCTAGCTGGTGTTGAAAGCTAAAGAGAGACGATGGATTGAAAGTGCTGGAGTGCAGTTCAAATGTGCAAAGGTACAGAGTTCTACAGCTAACCCCTAAACCTAACCCTAACCCACTGGAGGACCTGCCTAACCCTAACCCCGCTGGAGGACCTGCCTAACCCTAACCCCGCTGGAGGACCTGCCTAACCCTAACCCCGCTGGAGGACCTGCCTAACCCTAACCCCGCTGGAGGACCTGCCTAACCGTAGCCCCGCTGGAGGACCTGCCTAACCCTAACCCCACTGGAGGACCTGCCTAACCCTAACCCCACTGGAGGACCTGCCTAACCCTAACCCCACTGGAGGACCTGCCTAACCCTAACCCCACTGGAGGACCTGCCTAACCCTAACCCCGCTGGAGGACCTGCCTAACCGTAGCCCCGCTGGAGGACCTGCCTAACCCTAACCCCGCTGGAGGACCTGCCTAACCCTAACCCCACTGGAGGACCTGCCTAACCCTAACCCCACTGGAGGACCTGCCTAACCCTAACCCCACTGGAGGACCTGCCTAACCCTAACCCCACTGGAGGACCTGCCTAACCCTAACCCCACTGGAGGACCTGCCTAACCCTAACCCCACTGGAGGACCGCCTAACCCTAACCCACTGGAGGACCTGCCTAACCCTAACCCCGCTGGAGGACCTGCCTAACCCTAACCCCGCTGGAGGACCTGCCTAACCCTAACCCCACTGGAGGACCTGCCTAACCCTAACCCCACTGGAGGACCTGCCTAACCCTAACCCCACTGGAGGACCTGCCCTAACCTAACCGGGCGGCACGGTGGCTGAGTGGATAGCACTCTCGCCTCTCAACAAGAAGGTCCTGGGTTCAAATCCCGGTTGGACCAGGGCCTTTCTGAGTGGAGTTTGCATGTTCTCCCCGTGTCTGCGTAGGTTTCCTCCGGGTGCTCCGGTTTCCCCTACCACTAAAAATATGTACAATAGGTCTGGCATGTGCCTCCTGTACTGGCACCCCCACTCCCAAAAATAACAATTGTAAACCGCTTTGAGACTCCGATGTGCAGTGAAAAGGCGGTATATAAATAAAGATTACTTACTACTACATTACTACTAACCCTAACCCACTGGAGGACCTGCCCTAACCTAACCCTAACCCACTGGAGGACCTGCCCCAACCTAACCCTAACCCACTGGAGGACCTGCCCTAACCTAACCCTAACCCGCTGGAGGACCTGCCTAACCCTAACGCTAACCCCACTGGAGGACCTGCCCTAACCTAACCCTAACCCAATGGAGGACCTGCCTAACCCTAACCCACTGGAGGACCTGCCTAACCCTAACCCACTGGAGGACCTGACTAACCCTAACCCACTGGAGGACCTGCCTAACCCTAACCCTAATCCACTGGAGGACCTGACTAACCCTAACCCTAACCCACTGGAGGACCTGCCTAACCCTAACGCTAACCCCACTGGAGGACCTGCCCTAACCTAACCCTAACCCACTGAAGGACCTGCCTAACCCTAACCCACTTGAGGACCTGCCTAACCCTAACCCACTGGAGGACCTGACTAACCCTAACCCTAACCCACTGGAGGACCTGCCCTAACCTAACCCTAACCCACTGGAGGACCTGCCTAACCCTAACCCACTTGAGGACCTGCCTAACCCTAACTCACTGGAGGACCTGACTAACCCTAACCCTAACCCACTGGAGGACCTGCCTAACCCTAACGCGAACCCCACTGGAGGACCTGCCCTAACCTAACCCTAACCCACTGGAGGACCTGCCTAACCCTAACGCGAACCCCACTGGAGGACCTGACTAACCCTATCACAGAAAAGCCCTGTCTCTTTTGGATTTCTGTCTGATCCTACAGAAAACAAGAATGTGCTGATCTGCAGAGGGCTAAAAAAAAAAAACATCTATACAGGGAGCCAGTGCAGGGATTAGGAACAGGATTGATGAGATCTATGCACTTTTCTCCTGTTAAAGGCGGGTTTCTGTATTTGCACTCCCTGTAGGTGGACTCTGGATTATTTTATGTTAAATTTGATTGATGTGTGAATTGAGGAAAACATGTCAGTCAAAAAGAGCATTGCAAAAGAAATATGTACAGAAACATCACAGTTGCTGTACAGTATAAAGGCAGAGACCAAGTCTCTCTCTCTGGTCTCTTTCTGGTCTTTCTCTCTGGTCTCTCTCTGGTCTCTCTCTGGTCTCTCTCCATGGTCTCTCCATGGTCTCTCTCCATGGTCTCTCTCTGGTCTCTCTCTCTGGTCTCTCTCTCTGGTCTCTCTCTCTGGTCTCTCTCTCTGGTCTCTCTCTCTGGTGTCTCTCTCTGGTCTCTCTCTCTGGTCTCTCTCTGGTCTCTCTGGTCTCTCTCTCTGGTCTCTCTCTCTGGTCTCTCTCTCTGGTCTCTCTCTCTGGTCTCTCTCTCTGGTCTCTCTCTCTGGTCTCTCTCTCTGGTCTCTCTCTCTGGTCTCTCTCTGGTCTCTCTCTGGTCTCTCTCTGGTCTCTCTCTGGTCTCTCTCTGGTCTCTCTCTCTGGTCTCTCTCTGGTCTCTCTCTGGTCTCTCTCTCTGGTCTCTCTCTCTGGTCTCTCTCTCTGGTCTCTCTCTCTGGTCTCTCTCTCTGGTCTCTCTCTCTGGTCTCTCTCTCTGGTCTTTCTCCGGTCTCTCTCTCTGGCCTCTCTCTGGTCTTTCTCAGGTCTCTCCATGGTCTCTCTCTGGTCTCTCTGCTGGTCTCTCTCTCTGGTGTCTCTCTCTCTGGTCTCTCTCTCTGGTCTCTCTCTCTGGTCTCTCTCTCTGGTCTCTCTCTCTGGTCTCTCTCTCTGGTCTCTCTCTCTGGTCTCTCTCTGGTCTCTCTCTGGTCTCTCTCTCTGGCTGTGATAGTTTTTGCAGCCCTAACACACAAAGCTGTTACTTCACAGGTATCAATTATCGCTGGTTATTCTTAGAACGTAGGGCTGTGATGAACGAGGATAAACTGTATTTTCTCGTGTCTTTCACAGAATCAAAGCTCAAACAATAATAAGTGATAAGAATAAGTCACACATTGATACATGTGTCCTATCACAACTATGCAGACGACACTCAGATCTATGTCTCACTGACTGCAGGAGAACATGGACCAGTGGACTCACTCCTTCACTGTATCCAACAGATCAGTGAGTGGATGCAAAACAACTTCCTTCAGCTAAACGCAGACAAAACTGAAATTATTGTCTTTGGTCCCCAGAAACAAAGAGAGAGCGTCATCTGTCACCTACAGTCTCTCTCCCTAAAACCTTCAAACAAGGTCAGATATCTAGGGGTAATACTTTACTCAGACTTAAATTTTAATAGCCACATCAAATCAGTAACATCAGCAGCTTTTTACCATCTAAAAAAACATTGCCAGGATCAAAAACATAGTGTCTAAAGCAGACTTGGAGATTCTTATCCATGCATTTGTCTCCAGTAGGTTAGACTACTGCAATGGCCTGCTCACAGGTCTGTCCAAACAGGCTGTAAAACAGCTGCAGTACATTCAAAATGCAGCAGCTCGAGTCCTGACTAGAACCAGGAAGTACGACCACATTAGTCCTGACTAGAATCAGGAAGTACGACCACATTAGTCCAGTCCTCAGATCTCTGCACTGGCTTCCTGTGGCTCAGAGAATAGACTTTAAGGCCCTGTTTATACTGAGACGCTGCGCATACGTTTCCAGGCTATTAACAGAAACGACCTGGCTCCTAATGCAAATTTTTCAGCGTTCACATTGAAAAACGATGTAGTTCTAGCGCCCGGCCAGTAGGGGGCAGAGAAACTTTACAACACTCACACGACCCCCAGCCCCGTGCCCAGCCCCCCTCTCTGCAGTGTACTCACTTCCTGTGCCAGACCCTCAGAACGCACCAACATCATTCTGCATTTTAACAGCAGCTGTGAAAATGGAAACTGAACCTAGAGCTTCGCGTGGTCTCGTTTGGACGAACGAAGGAGTAGAATTATCCTCTGTCCCGTGCTGGAAGCCCACGTAGCTAGTTTGTGTGGGCGGCGCCATTTTTGTTGATGTTGGTTCTCCGCTACTGCGCATGCGAGCCCACCATAAGACCTACTTCACAACTCCCACTGATGACTGCTGTTGTTGTGTCCTTGGGCAAGACACTTAACCCCACTTTGCCTGAAGCCCCCACTGAAAGATCTTCAGCACCTGCAGGAGGATCAGTGAGAGGCTGGTGCTCTGCGTACTGGGTGCAGCTCTGACTGACACCCCCAAAACCCAGAAATGGATTAAGGGGAAGAAAATGGATGGATAGATGGATGTATACTGAATGAAGAGACATGGGGCTCAGAGATGATCATATTAGCGAGCACAAAAGCTGGTTATGTTCCCTTTACAGTAAGTGTATTTAGCATAATGTGGAAGTTCTAAGGTCTATAGTGGTGTAAATAAGAAGGCGGTACAGGAGGTCGCTCACGCCGAGATGCATGGTCCACGGAGCGAGGAGCTGGATTCTTGTTCAGCAGCAGAGATGAAGTCTGTGGGCTGTCTGCAGACGCTGCGGGACGGCGCTCCACGGCTCCTTTGTCTCCTCAGTCTACTTTCCTTTACGCAGTCTGCCTCTCAGGCTTCCATAGTCGACACTACAGACATGTGCTCTCACGCTGGGCCATGCTGCGACAGCTTCTGGACACACAAACTGTCTTTAATGACTGGATGATGACGACCGAGATCTGTCCAGAGGTGTTTTGAAGAGTTATTCCCAGAAGACATTTTTTTCTCACTTATGAATTTTAAGCTGGAGGAATATTAATGTTTTGTACACATTAGTATGGATATAAGCGTGCGTGCCAACATCAGCGATTTCTTCTGACCAAGTTTAAGCATCATTATGAACCTCCTGCTCTCACTGTTTCCTTTGAAATGGAAAAGACCATCAATGATTCATGCGCACCATGTGAAGGTCATTAGGTAAATAGTTCACCACATCAATCCCTTTTCTACGCCTGAAAAAGGTTTTCTGTGAAGCAAAAAGGGCTGAACAAATAATCACATTCTAAATTGTGACTGTAATTGCAAACTATTCTGGTCTTACCATGTGTAAACTCTGCTCTATGATCATTTCCTACATGTACGTCTGGTCTTACCATGTGTAAACTCTGGTCCATTATCATTTCCTACATGTACATCTAGGTCTGATCCCAGTGGCTGCAGCTTCCTCGGTTGAATCCCTTCCGACCAATCAGAGAGCGGGGGAGGCGGGTACTTCCTGCTCTGGACAGAGCAGTCGCATTCTCTTGCTGCTCCTCGCTTGCTGCTTTTTCATCTCCTTTAATCATTTTTGCTTACATTTTTATTCCACAAAACACGGATTACTCCTTTTTACAAACTTCAACACAAGACTTGGGGAATTTACCTAACTTACAGCATGTCGGGAGGACGGGAAAAAAGAACAAAACTTTGCGACGGCTGTTTTTCACTCAAACAGGAGCTAAAACTTCTTCAAGACCGAATGTTTGTGCTTGAATCAGAATTGGGGCTGAACACAACAATACCAGTGAAAGGAAATGGACCAGATGGACAGAACGTAAGTTATGATGACGCTATTTCATTTCCCAAAATCAACAGAGACAATTGTTGGAACACATATGGTGCCAAGCCCAAACAAGGCAAAGCTAATGATAACAAGAGTGTCATAATGCCACAGCAAAAATCTTTAATTACAAGGAACCGCTATTCACCACTTTTGGAAGATGAATCAGCAGTAGCCTCTCAGTCCCAGTCTCAGTCTCAGTCAAGGTCAAATGCAGCTGAGTCGCTCTTTATCGGGGATTCGGCGATTAGGAATGTAAACATGCGTAATCTGAAGGTTCACTCAGTACACTCTGCCAAAGTGGATGAGATAAGGCGGTTGGCTCTGAGGCTTCTGTCTGAGACCGGCGGGGTAAAAAGATTGTTGATCCACGTGGGGGCAGTAGACGTCTATGACAACACAAGTGAAAAGTTGAAACGGGATTATTCTCTCTTATTGGACGACCTTGCTAAAATGGACGCAACAATCGTTATCAGTGGCCCACTACCAAATGTGGACGGGAAGCAAATGAAATTCAGTCGTCTGTATCAGCTAAATACTTTCCTACTCAACGAATGTTCACGCAGAGGACTTGCCTTCATTGAGAATTTTAATCTGTTCTGGAATAGGCATGAGCTTTTTGAAGGGAAAGGGCCACATCTGAACACTTACGGAGTAAAAGTGTTGATGGATAACCTTTCTTTTGCCCTGAGACCTCAGCCTGCGCAGCGCGTGCAGCCATCGAAAGGGAGGAAGCCGACTCTAAAAGTCTCTGCACCTCCACCACTTCGAAGGATCTCAACACCACCTCGAAGGATCTCAACACCATCACCGCCTCAAAGGATCTCAACACCACCTCGAAGGATCTCAACACCATCACCGCCTCAAAGGATCTCAACACCTCCACTGTCATCAGAAGCAGCTGCATCATCA